TAGGAAATCTAAAGCGAAGTTGAGCAGCAGGTCCTGATAGGCTTACCCCTGAGATATATAAGAATGGTGGTCCAGTTTTAGCAGCTAGGTTGACCGAGATCTTAGGTAGAATCTGGGAACTGGAGGTAATCCCATCCGACTGGTCTCAATCACTGATTGTCCCAATCTATAAGAAAGGAAAAAAGTCTTCTTGTGACAATCACAGGGGAATAATTCTAACTAATATAATATCTAAAATATTGGCCTCAGTAATACTCCGACACTTAACAAAAGCTCGTAAAGAGCAGGCTAGAGAAAACCAGACTGGTTTTGGACCTGGACGTGGTTGTATAGACCACATTTTCGCACTACGACAGGTCCTGGAACACAGACACACATATAGGCGTCCTGCAATAGTTGTCTTCCTGGACCTTCAGGCGGCATCCAACTCTTGGTCGTGAGGTTCTGTGGTAGTGTCTGTCATGAAAAGGTGTACCAGAGATGTACGTTAACCTTATACAAGCTCTCTATTCGAACAACACTAGTCGAGTGAGAGCCTATGGTGAACTATCATTGGAATTCTTTACTTCAAGTGGTGCCCGTCAGGTATATCCTCTCTCCCCATTCTTGTTCAATTTTGTCATAGACATGCTGCTAGATATAACATCTTCGTTTGAATTTTCAGGAGTACACCTATCAGGAGGCTCGCTCGCTGACTTAGAGTATGCCGATGACACAGGCTTATTAGGTGAAGACGCTGACAAAATGCAGTCTTTTGACTACCCTAAGCAACAATGCAAGCATGTTCGGGATGCGGTTTTCACCCTCGAAACGCAAAGTGTTGCTTGTTGTTGGGTTGCGTCGGCACCTGAAGTAGTGATAGGGAGTGAAGTAGTTGAGCGTGTTGACGGCTTCACTTATCTGGGGTCTCATCAGCGCTGACGGCTTGGTGACTGACGAAATTTCAGCGCGGATACTGAAGGCTAGATTGGCTTTTGCCAATTTAGGTCATTTATGGCGTAGTCGAGGTATCCGTTTGCTGACTAAAGGACGAGTGTACTGCGCAGCAATTCGCTCCATTCTCCTATATGGATGCAAAACATGGCCGGTGAGAGTAGAAGATATTCGTAGGTTACTAGTATTCGATCTTAGATGTCTTATAAGCATTGCTCGTGTATTATTGGACAACCGAGTGAGCAGTGCTGCCATTAGTAAACGGGTACTAGGTAAGGATGGCAGATCAATAGATGAAGTGGTGAAACTTCATCAGTTGAGGTGGTTGGGACATGTGTTACGTATGCCTAACCACCGACTGCCTCGACGAGCTATGTTTTGTGGTGTGGGAGTGGGTTGGAAGGAAGCTAGGGGCGGCCAGACCAGAACATGACAGAAATCCATGAAATCACTGACAAGTGGACTGAGTAATGTTGGTAGATGTAGGCTACCTGGTTGGGGTCCGCGAGACGAAAGTCGCTGATGGTTAGGGACCTTGAACGACATGGTTCAGAATCGTTTGTAATGGTGCAGGTGCATCCAATCTTTGTGTTCCCAAATCCTAATCTTCCAGATTCGTCAACTCCTCTGCCTTTGTCTTTCTAAACTTATCTCACTGAATTATACTTCTTCAATAATATCGTGGAACCCTAATCTTCTCCTCTACCAGTAGTACTTTTACTATCTCTACCACTATGGGATTTGGTTTGACAATTGCGTCTCTGTGCTAATGTGGTATGGCAGCATGAACTGATGTACTTACGTACGAAGTTCTACGTCGCAACTAACTGACTGAACGTCACTCCACTGCCTTGTAGACGAGACTTTTGGGTCAAAGGCTCAGGGTGTTGCCCTCTCAATAAAACCTACTTAAGGTTGGGTAGTTGAGGAGTATCCCATCCAACTCATAAACACAAAAATTTATGCTGCATTAATACTTAGGTACCTCTTTGTAACAATGTTCACGTGTGAATATAAAAAATAGGTTGTAACTTGCTCACCTATCTGTTGATTTCTTTTCCATTGTTGTTACTCACCTGTCCTACAGGTACATTTATTCCCTGTTGTTAGTGTGACTTTACTGAAGTTATCTTGATGCAAGGTTCCTACATTTCTCATTTGATACAGTCAACAAAACAAAAACCTGTTTTTGGCGTGTTGAAGTCACTGTTAGGAGTTTCGTAATATCACCTTCCCAATGCAGAGAACGTTTATGCAGATTTAATACCATACCAATCTAGACTAACAGGCTAGTAGGTACTGGTTAAACTGTATTCGAATGAAAACTATTATGACTCGTACCAAACATGACAATCAAGATACGGGTAGTAAAAGCTCATCTCTCAAGAATATACGTTGGATTCAGTCTCATCTATGTAGATCCTGAATAGCCTAATTTGGAAAGTTCCATAGTACTATGTTCCGAATCATGGAATATACATGTTTTTTTAAGTCTCATGACGAAACCGGTCATGTAAATGACTTTTAACCTTTATCTTACGTTAATTTGGGTTATTCGTCCCAATAGTTTTGTGGCAGAGAGCCCGTATTTTACAGATAAGTAGTCATGCGACAGCTTGTACTTGTTTATTCAATCTGAGACTTAACAATAACCTTCTTTAATGTTTAAATGTCATTCTATTCAAGCTCGTAACTAATGCATTGGCTCTTAACAGACTCTAAAGGTATATGCAAGTTCCGTTTTCGTGTTTGGCAAACTAAAGTACATGGCGTCAATAAAACAGGATTCATCCTTATTTTGGTTTTCCCTCTGTATGTCTGAAACTTATGTTGTTTAACGATATCACACTGTTACCATACATTCGCTATAGCATCACTTTTCCTATTGTTTTTCTGCAGAGGTAGGTCCCATCGAACTGCTTCATCTCAGTCTTATTTGACTTACCCTCGACCGAAGCTGCTACCTTGACGTGGTGGTCGGGCTTGCCTATCGTGATGACCCAACCGAGCTATACTGGCTGGAACACATGTTCCTGCAGGTCCTACCATGCCAGGCAGGTCGATTGGAGAACGATGAGACTAAAAGCAGCTACCCAAGGTCTGAGGGCGAAGTCGTACTGCTGACTGCAGAGGGGTGTGACAGCAGTAAGGTGTTTCCCTCGGACAACCAGCATCTGCAGCGGTGCTGCCTTCTCACAAGGAAGGAAGGGTTAGAAAAGGTCGGCCCCAAAAATGTCACACCTCCCCTACCTCACGGATTTCCGTCTCCTCGGGTAAGGGTGCCCACTAAGGGCCTTTAAGAACGGAGCTAATCCTCAAACAACGTTTCATAAAAAGGCCGTGCGTGACCGGCCTCAAGCAGTTGTCCCTTGGACTCTGCGGTCACGCACCAACACTAATCCATCTTCCTTTTCAGGTTCGTCAAGAAACAACCTTCCACGGTGTGGGCAGCCGGGAAGTGACAACCGCCCTCATACCCGTAACAGCACACGAGACCAAATTGGTCAAAATCAAATCCTTCCTAAATTCCCTAATACCTCTCTTATCTCCACAACTAACTCTTCTCACATTCATTTATTACAGTACACAGCTAATGCAAACGATGCGAGTTTGCGAAACGTCGTTCCTGGTCTCCTTAAACCCCGTTCCAAACTACATGTTGGAGCATTCAATGTACGGACATTGTGTCAAATAGGGCAACAGGCATCATTAGCTAGGACTTTAGAATCTCGTTCCATCGATGTGTGCTGCGTCTCGGAAACGCGCATACAGGATCCGAGTAGCATCACTCATTTGACCTCACCATGTCAAGATAAAGAAGCAGCTCGACGGGATGCGGTTTTCCCCCTCGAATGCAAATGTTGCTTCAAGACTGGGTTGCTTCGGCACCTGAACTAGTGATAGGGAGTGAAGTAGTCGAACGTGTAGACCGCTTCACTTATCTCGGGAGTCTCATCAGTGCTGACGGTCTGGTGACTGACGAAATCTCAGCTCGGATACAGAAAGCTCGATTGGCCTTTGCCAACCTGCGTCACTTATGGCGTAGGCGTGATATCCGTTCGCTAACCAAAGGGCGGGTGTACTGCGCAGCAGTTCGTTCCGTTCTCTTATATGGCTGTGAAACATGGCTGTTAAGAGTAGAAGATGTTCGTAGGTTACTAGTATTCGATCATAGATGTTTAAGAAGCATTGCTCGTATATCGTGGGACAGCCGAGTAAGCAATGCTGTCGTTAGGAAACGAGTACTAGTAAGGATGGCAGATCATAGATGAAGTGGTGAAACTTCATCAGTTGAGGTGGTTGGGACATGTGTTACGTATGCCTAACCACCGACTGCCTCGACGAGCTATGTTTTGTGGCGTAGGAGTAGGTTGGAAGAAAGTTAGGGGCGGCCAGACCAAAACATGGCACAAATCCATGAAGTCTCTGACAAGTGGACTGAGTCATGTTGGTAGATGTAGACTACCTGGTTGGGGTCCGCGAGACGAAAGTCATCGATGGTTAGAGACCTTGAACGACATGGCTCAGAATCGTTTGCAATGGCGCAGGTGCATCCACTCTTTCAGCTCTCTCAAATCCTAATCTTCTGGATTCGTCAGCACCTCTACCTTTGTCTTTCTAACCTTATCTCACTGAATTATATTTTTTGAATAATATCTTCGAACCCTAGTCTTCTTTATTAACATTAATACCTCTACTATCTTTATCACTATGGGATTTGATTTGACATTTGCGTCTCTGTGCTAATAATGTGGTATGGCAACATGAACTTATGTACATACGTACGAAGTTCTACGTTGCAACTGACTGACTGAGTCATAGAGGCCCTGCCTCAAACTTGTACACGTTAATGGGATAAGTAAATTGTGGATTTTAGCTTCATACCGTACTAGTCAGTCTGAATACTTAGTGTTGGTTTAATGTAGTGTCGCTGAGCCGAAAACTTAAAAACTACGGATTTATATAAAATTCATTAAAATTTGAACGAAAAGTATGCAAGAAATTGATTATTTCTCTGAATAGACTTAATTCAGAATCTCAAGGGAAATGTTCGAACTTTTTAGGTTTTAAATACTGAGATTGTTGCATATGCAATTTTACATCTAATGTACTACGAATTCAGCTTTAATTTATTTGTAACCTCAGGAATACTTGGCATCCTGTGAAAGTCATAAAAGCGTTTGGCTGATTAACAACTCATTTCTTATCTCAAACAGTTTTTACTATTATCTTACGGTCACTACTACAGAGTAATTGTTATCGTAAGAGATAAATTGGTTGTTCAAAAAGTTTTTTTAATTAACGGTATTATTTTATCTTTACCGGAAGATTTGATCTTTTGTTTCACAGGAAATGTTTGACATGTGTTAACCATGGCTAAAATTTCCAACCGTAAACCATCGAAAAATGTCCATTCATCTCTTGAATGGACTTTTCAAAATAACGATCCGAACTCTTCCAGCGATACATATTGGTCTTGGTCAGATGTCTATAAGTACCAAAGAAGCAATAGTGTTCAGGACAACCGTGTTAAAGTCGTAGTGTCTGTAGAACAAACTTTGTATGATGTCGCGGAACTGCTTGAAAGGCGATTAGGGATTTGTCTTTCTGGCTGCCAGTTTTATCTTCAAGACCGAATCAAGGTAATTTCGTTTGCAAGCTATTTCATGTTTTAGCTTCGTGGGGAATCGCCTCTGGTTGAACATTGTGTAGAAATATCTGGTTTAGTCCAGCTATTACTTGAGGTGAAAACAGCACAAGCAGGCTATCCTTTTCGACTCAATGTAGTTGATATTCAAATCCCAGAGTCCGTTGATCATCATGGACTTAACTCTTTGCCAATCGAAAAAAATAGACGTTCTGGTATTGCAAAAGGACCCGGACAACAGGTGAGTTCTCAGTCTTGGTATTGGTTGTTATTGAAACTACCATTTTGTCCCGATTTGTTTCTGCGGATCTGTGTTCTTGATACCTACTTATTCAGGGTTCATTTGTCATTTGGACGTCAAGTAGTCAGCAGGAATAATGTAGACAACTTAGATACAACCAGGATCGAAAAAATCAATTGTCAGTGTATGTTTCAAAGGTTGCAATCCCTCATATATTTATTTAAAGCACATGAATTCTGGTTCAGTCTAGGACCGAAAATGTGTGTCTTATAAGTGAACTAGTAATGTTGCAAAGAAATAATAAAGAGGAGGGTATTACAGTCAATTAAGAAATAAAGAGAAGGGGCATTTAATAAGAGACTGTTCAGTTAAAGGTATAGTAAAAATAAACTCCGTTAAGTAAAGTCATCTCACTTATGAAGATTATAATAAAAACTACAGTAGGATGCCACTCTGGCTTCCATAACTAGCTGAGTGGAGAGAGAAGCAACAGACCTATCACCAACTATACCACGGCATCTTTGAAAACTAGTGACTTTTTCGACTTGTATGTTATTCGTAGGGTACGTAGGAGGAAAAATTAAATTTGTTCCCTTCCGTCAATATGATCCCAAGTAGCATATTACTGTTTAATTACGTTCCTTATCCAAAGTAGTCATTCATTATCTTATCTATCACAAATTGATTTTCGTTTGATCGAATTCAAGGGTTTTTCACACATTTTTCATCGGCTTATTTCAGATATCCAGTTTAAACTCGGCAAAAAATGAGGAGTCAAGGGATGATGGCTCTCTCTCAAGTTCAAACAGACCAACAAGTCCAAAACCTGAATGCATATCCCCTCTAACCGTTGCCGCAGCTGTGGCAGCAGCAGCTGATATTGCTTCAGGAGGGTCTGGTTTATTGGAACCACAGCCTCTCAATGAAAATGGTATGGTCTCAAATGAGTCTGTTATTCCAGAAGCATGCACTATTCTTGATGTACATTCATCTCAGAACCCTTATCTAGGATCCCAACTGGAACCTGGTGGAATTTCTGGAACTTACGACTTGGAAAGCTTATCCAGATGGGTCCCTGATGGTCACTATCATCGTTTAATGGAAATGAATGATATTCCCCGTGATCCTATCGAGTGGAATTCCACCCAAGTAAGTGTATGTTTGTCATGCATTGCTTTAGCTAGATCCATTAAGTTTGGTTTCAACAGTTACGTTTCTAAGTTAACTCGCGTTTTGATTTCCTTATTGATCTTGTTTTGTTTCGAGATAGGTTGATAAATTTCTTTGTCGTTGAATCAAATGCTCATCATTCCCATACGATTGTATTTTCCAATTAACAAGAATTTTAGTGGTTGATTTCGCCATCAAGAATTTCTTACCAACGTATTTTCTGTTAAATTTGTGTTTGTTTGATTTGACAAAATTCAAATAATGGAAACCATACGATTCCATAGTCACATAAACTGACTGTAGAAATTCCTTACATTCCTTAAAAAATTCATTGCACCTGTATCTTCGGAACATTACTATTATTTATAAGCTTTCATTACCTCAATGTCAAACAGGTTTTATTGTAATAAATTGTGATAGTTGTTGGGGATGTTAGATCCCCAGAACTCGCTTGATAAATGTCTTATGTTGGATTTCACGTTTGCGAGCATGGGCTGATCACTTGACCTTGAGATTTCATTTCCCACCAGGAAAATTCGTGGCTGTGATTGGCTGCTGTGTATTTTAGTGTGCTATTTTCGTAACTGTCCCAAGGACGTTTCTATGATGTATAAATAAACGAGAATGGTGTGCTTGATTGCATTGTGCTTGCTGGGTGTTCGTAGAATATACTTTCTCCGCTTATCAAGACTTCTGTTTTACAGCTTGGGATTCAAGGTAGCCTATCTGGACGCTGGTAATTGTCTCGTTCGCGTTTATCGACTAAGGTGAACTCATAATAGCTTCAAGCGTACCTAGTGACGAACATAACAATAGTAATAACATATGTTAGTGCACCCACCATTTCTTTAGAACTCTTTACAATTCCGAGTGACCAGGAAATCAATTAGACTTCATATTGTCGTTGCATGTTACATCGGAAATGCTGGCTATCCCTAAACTACGATGAAAAGTCATTCAATCATTGCACAAATATAAGTTGGCCCAAGTCACCATACTATATTAGCACAACGAGATGAAATTGAGAAGATGAATGGCAAAAGTGATCAAAATAATGTTATAGCAATGACAGTAAGAAAGACTGGACCTGAGTCTCAAAATCTCGTACTTTTTTCCTACACTACGTAGTTGGGGCCCACGAGATGATAGTAGTCGATGGTTAGAGACCCTGACATGGCTCAAAACCGTTAGCAATGGCGTGGGTGCATTCATTTTTGTGTTCTCTCTTCTTGAACACTAATCTCTCCGGTTACTGCTAGTACTATCTCTACCACTATGGGATTTGAACTGACAGTTGCGTCTCTGTGCTAATGTGGTATGGCAACCTGAACTAATGTATGTACGTACGGAGTTCTACGTTGTAACTGACTAGGGAGTCTTTCAGTGGTTCCTATTTTTCTCGTGGTCAGTTCACGTGAATAGTATTCTGTAGATTCTTTATGCAGAAGTTTCAGAGTTCCGTCTTGTTATATTAGTTTGTTTTGAGGCTTGCTCCAATAATTCGGTCTCAGCGAGGTTATCAGTCAATCATATTGTATCATTGCACAGTCTGTTAATGATGTTTCTGCTCATTTTTTGACTGTTTTCAAAAAGGTTTGAGACCATGCACCATAATAAACTGCATATAATTATACTTCATTTGGCTTTTCGGTTTTATGTTTAAGACTTACGACCTCAGATCCCCTGTCACACGACCTCATAAAGCACTTGTCATAGACAACATCGTCAGTAGAATAATGTGGTCATTGTTTTTGATTTTGGTTGATTCGCTGCCTGATCTAATCGAAATATTCGGTTAAGGCTTAAACTTTCTCCTTATCTGCAAAGTCTGTTATTGATGTACATTTATTGACAAAGAACCTTCAATAACAGCTTTTTTGTTTTCCAAATTTTAGGTTATCATGTGGATAAATTGGGCTTGCAAACAATTTAGGATTGAAGGCTTGAAAAGTGAAAAGCTTTTCAACATGCCTGGGTCTCGCATGTTCGTTTTAACACCAGATGATTGGCGACGTCTAGTTCCCAACGCCAATGTCAACTTCTTAACACACTTGGAGTTACTCAAACGCTGTCGGAATGTTTGTATGTCTATAGTTTTTTGTATTTTACAGATTTTGAAATTTATTGTACAGTTCATACATGAACATAGTGTTATAATCGAAAGTAACAAACTTTCTTGTGGTCTGCGTTCCTTGTTTTTCTTCACATTTATGTCTAGAATATTGTTTTGTATTTCTATTCGAGTTAAGTAGTCAGTTGTAATCATTGTCGTGGGATATGTCCGTTCAAGTATCCACACCATGGAGGGAAATGATGTTAACCTAATCAATTCCAAAGAAGTTAAAATACTAGCACTATTAGTGGTAATGCAAAAGACTTATAATATGAATACAGTTCGTAAAGGACTGATGAATTTGAACTATAAAAAGTATGGAATTACATTAAAACTAGAAGCAGAAGAAGAAGAGTAGCTTCATTCTGGACATTGCGACCGCTTCTGAACCTGGTCACATATAAGTTCTTCAACCATTGGTCACGATTATTGCGTGACTGTTAACTCAGTAGTCTTCAAACAACAAGATTCAAACCAGCATCCGATGATTTTATGGACTGATTTCATGTCCTGGATCAGCCAATTATAGTTTTCTTTCAACCTTCCCACTCCGGCCAACATTTCACGTCAAGGTAGGTGGTTATCGGGGATATGCAGTTTAAAAGCCACATTTGCCAAACGTTCACTGCCATCAACCGATTTCCCATCTACGCATTGTATGCTACGCTTAGCTTCAGGATCGCTCACTGATCAATCCCACGGTAGGTGAACAATGCTTAGAAAACATCTAGGATCAAAAACATGCTGCGTATGTCTTCTGTTTTCATGGATTACCTCTTATAACCATAAAGTAGTACAGAGCTTGTTGTTGTGCAGTGAACTCGTCCTTTGATACACAGACAAATATCTTATCTACGTCACCGATGGTGCAGGTTGGTACAAACTAAGTGAGGTTATTGATTCCTTTTCTGAGATTTCACCAATCACTGATCTATCAGGGCTGATAAATCGATCAACACATTTCACCCCGATGTGTCTATTTATGACTATTTCAAGATGATTATTGTCAAATCTGTACTGTTTCTTATTTTCCTAATCGATGTTATAGAAATAAATTAGTTTGCTATTTCTTAGCTAAGATATAATATGTAATGCGAATTTCATGGTGACGTACACCTCTTTATTGTAGGTGTCCCTTATTGTCCACAACCTCCACCGCAGAGCGCAAACCAATCTCAAAAATTGTACAGACAAATGTCCCGGTCCCGCTTTCGTAGCTCAAGAAATTTAACGGAAACGAATTCAAACAGGAGTTTTGGTGGAAGTAAGTATTCACAGTATAAAACTAGTTACTGTTTCAGTATCCTGATGTATGACTTTTCCCACTAATTTGCAATGACTTAATCGATTCTTAGTAATGCTTTTCTCACCATCTAATAATAAAATCTTAACCATCACGGTAAAATGGATTATTTGAAGACATTAGTCAGCATGACGAGCTAGTCCAGCAGTTGTTTTCATTCAATCTGAAGTCTTGTTATTGTATTCATCATTCGCATCCCAAGTTCTCATTATTTCCCTGCAAGCGTTTGTCTTTAAATGAAAAACTTAAAAATGATTCATCAAATGTATAACTCTAATTTATAACTTCTAGTACAGTAGGGCTTCGTCCATTAGAATAATTGAGATTATTATGATGAGTTATGTTTGAATGAAATGCGACATCTAGATTATTCTAGTATTTTAGTTCTTGCCAATAATTTATGCTGGAATATTTTTTCTATGGAGTTCAATTAATACTTCCTTTGCGAATTTTGCACCATAACATACATGGTCGTTGACGTAACACAACACTCAGTTCATAAGTTATAGTCAGATTAACATTCAGAATGGTCGTATAAATTCGGAAACTAAGTTATAACTGTTAGGATATTCATCCACTATCCTAAGAGAAATATTGGTCAATTCCTATTGGTTAATTCCTACTGGTCAATTTTATGGTCGTCCTAGATATCAATGTCACGTACTCCAATGTTGTTTCTTATTGGTTGTCCTGACTATCAATGTCACTTCAAATGTTATTTCCTATTGGTTGTCTTAACTGTCAATGTCACAGACTTCGATGCTGTTTCCTATTCGACCAAAATGCATAAATACGCATTATTTGTAACGTTTTATGACCACGACCAGGACCAGGGCTCGGTCCCGGATCCCTAGTCCGGGGTCCTGATTCTCTTCTGGATTCGGACCTCGTACTTTCTGGATGCTTGTAGAATACAGGTTCTACTTCATATCATATCTTCTTATTCTTACTAAGTATGGGGGTTAGGATAATCGGATTTGAGTAGCATGTCGTGTCGCTGGATCCTCGATCCTCGCTCTCGTTTTCTGACTAGGTAAACTCGCAATAGATGAAGTATATCAAGTTGACGTGTTTACGTGCAGGCGTAACAATAACAGACTTCAAATTGCTTAGTCGTTATCGTGCCTAATAATTTAACCTGTACCTAGCTAATGTATTGAACTTTTATTTTGTTGTTCCACTGAAATTCCTAAGATTGAGATTGACACCCAATCTCATTGCTTTCATTTTATACGAGAAAGGATCTACATTGGATCAAGTATTCTGGTTAAAAAAATGAACAAATTATAAAGACTTTCATACAAAAGAGGGTATTTGCGACAAATTGTTTTTCAGTTAAACTTAAGTCTCATTATTACTTTTCTAAGGCTAACAGTATTGATAGTAATCATTACAAATACGCGACTTCGTAACGTCTGGTTTTAGTCTATCAGTCTTACAATAGATTATGTTACCTCGACTAGCTCAATTGCTATATAGCATTTTACACTTGCGATTCTGAATCTTTAGTTGTCAGTACATTGAACAGAAGTAAAGTATATTTAGCAGTGGCTTAGTAGTTAAAGCGTTTGAATTTCGGTAACTAAATCGCAGTTATGAGCCAGTAAACACTAACTATTCCCTAAAGTTACTCGTTGTTGTTTATTTTTAAGTTCCTAATACTGTTTTTTACTCCATTCTCTTGCTGTAATGTGAAATGTGATAACTTATGGTGGTGACATTAACTTTACTTTTATTTGCACATATATTGCTCATTACATGATTAAGATATTTTTTTTAGTTTAATACATTATCTATCAGTTCATTTAATTCTCTGATGTTACTCACAAAGGTATTGTATTCGCACCATCATACTCTGGAGCCTTAAATCCCTATGATACAAATATTGCTAATCCACGAATGATGTGTTCAAAACCAGTGTTTTTGTCATATAATGATTTAAATAGTCGCGTTCCAACATCCGGTGCTACTACACTAAATTCATTCATGAACGAAGCAGCTGCTAATCAGAATTCATCCAACTATACAAATAATGGTTTGTGTGAGGTGTCTTCAGGTGGTGGTAGTCAATTGGTTCATGTAAGTTCTTTAATGTCTTGCTTTTATGAACTTTCAGGTAATTATCTCAGTCTTGTTATTCAAAGCCTATCACATGTTTTATTTATGTACTAGCAAGAATAAAAGGGATGTATTTTATGTATTGATTAGAAAGCGACTAAACTCAATTAGTATATCGAAGTTACTGACATCATACTGGTCATACTGGCCAAGTGATTTTTCCTCACAACTGAAATCCATTTAATAATAAATTATCGTTTAAAAATGTACTAACGTTGTTGAAGTAGAAGTATGTAACTGAATATCATTATTAAATCATTCTTACCCAATTTTTAACTAAATTCAATAGACTTGTTGTAACTTTACACTTTTGGTAGTTTAGTCATGCTTCCCAGACACGATTATTTTACTTCTAACCTTCAAAAGGACGGTCTGATAAAATGAGCTACTGTGCTCCTTTATCTTTTTCATTTTATATAGAAAATAAGGCCGATAGGGTCAAGTACTATAAGTGGCAGAGATGAAAGCATTGCTCAGATTTATCTGTTTCAGTATATGGCTTCAAGGTTCACTTATCTTGTTTCCATTCATTAGTTCAACTTAGTTAAATTCATTTCTCATCTCAAAATTGATTCATTTACCAAGTACCGATTCATGGACTTGGCTTCGAACTTTGAGGGATGGTATTACTACTGTACGGTTGTCTAAAGTTGAAGTTAGTAGAGCAGTGTCCGTAATTGCCACTTATTGGCAAAAAGTCTAACGCATAAACCATAGAATCATTCCTCCTCCACCTTTTAGGCTAAGCATATATTAAGCATATATGCAAACTATCAAATAAATTAAGTGGGATTGTTAATGATAAAAATAATATATTTTTTTTATTATAGATACAAATGTTTATAGAATATCATCCAAATCCAACTTCTTATAAGTTTAGTAGGACTACTGCGAATGAACTAAGGCGATCATTGCTAGTGTAACACTAATATGAATTTTATGTTGGTTAGCATTTCTATTGCACAATCCTCAATTACTAACATCATAATTTAGTTACATTTCATAGATAACAATCGAATAACTTTTTTTTTTTAATCTTTTCAGGGTGCATTTTTATTGACACAGAATGGAAACTCTCTTCAACAAGGAATGACCAGTTCTCAATCATCAGCAGCTGCAGCTGCTGCTGGCCAAGTTCAATTGTGGCAGTTTTTGCTTGAATTACTTACCGATTGGAGATATCGTGAAGCCATTCACTGGATTAGTGATGATGGTGAATTTAAATTAAGTAATCCTGAACAAGTGGCTGCAATGTGGGGTCATCGCAAAAACAAACCTGCAATGAATTATGAAAAGTTATCTCGAGCATTACGATATTATTACGATGGTGATATGATTTCAAAGGTATCTGTTAAAAATAATAATACTTTTACAAATGATTTGTAGTTTAATACCTGTAATTTATCGCAATCTACAGGTAAAAGATTACTCCTCAGTGAAATAGGTTTAAATGTATGTACATAAGTTCATGTTGCCATACGACATTAGCACAGGGTACCATATTAGCGCAGGGACTCGCATCGTTTGCATTAGCTGTGCACTGTGACAGATGAATATGAGAAGAGTTAGTCGAGGAGATAAGAGAGGTATTAGGGTGTGTAGGAAGGATTTGATTTTGACCAATTTGGTCTCGTGTGCTGTTACGGGTATGAGGGCGGTTGTCACTTCCCGGCTGCCCACACCGTGGAAGGTTGTTTCTTGACGAACCTGAAAAGGAAGATACATTAGTGTTGGTTTTGGAGACCTGGGGGCGTGACCGCAGAGCCCAAGGGACAACTGCTTGAGGCCGGTCACGCACGGCCTTTTTATGGAAGGTTTTTTTGGGTATTAGCTCCGCTCTTAAAGGCCCTCAGTGGGCACCCTTACCGCTGGAAACGGAAATCCGTGAGGTAGGGTGAGGTGTGACATTTTCAGGGTCGACCTTTTCTAACCCTTCCTTCCTTGTGAGAAGGCAGCATCGCTGCAGATGCTGGTTGTTCAAGGGAAACACCTTACTGCTGTCACACCCCTCTACAGTCAGCAGCACGACTTCGCCCTCAGACCTTGGGTAGCTGCTTTTAGTCTCATCGCTCTCCAATCGACCTGCCTGGCATGGTAGAACCTTCAGGAATATAAGTTCCAGCCAATATAGCTCGGTTGGGTCATCACGATAAGCAAGTCCGACCACCACGTCAAGGTAGCAGCTTCGGTCGGGCGTGAACTTTGTGCTTATTTCTATATTGAATGTGCTCCGAGTTGTATTTTTTTTTACCTTGGTTAGATATTAGGCTGAAGGAAGCATATAGTGGAGTTTGTTATCCAGTGGGAAGTCTCATTTGCGTAATTTGAAAGCGACAACTAATTTTAAATGATTTAAACTTCTATTATATCATTTATCATAATTTATTTTTGGATTTTTCTGTATTGGGATCAGATTTCCTTTTACATCACACGTGATAAATCATGATAATCGTTTTAATAGGTCCCATAGTTGTGTTTACTAAACAGTAGAGCTGCTAAAAGTAAGCGAATAGCTATATCAGTGCAATAGTTTTGTGTGATTTCGGAATTTAGTACAAACATAACATTATACAGCATTCATTTTTATATTCGTCGATCGTTCTATGATGTATTGGTGATTAGTTACAGCTTAGTCTACAACCATGTCGTCCATTAAGATTTACGTACATCACTTGACTTTTTATATGAATAAAGTCGTATAATTTCGAATGCAATATATTTGAAAGCGATACTTAGTCAAATGTAACTGACTATATGCACTTTCAATCAAGTCTCTTACTGTTCAAGCGATGTCCGAAATTTATTAGCTGGGGTTGCCACTGTATCATTAAAAATCTTATGCACTGACAACAAAGTAATAAAAATTCAGCGTGGATAACCATTTTCCAGTCAGTAGTATCTCTCTCTCATTGAACTGATGTGATACATATTTATGCTGTGTTTGTACTAAGCTATCTTAATTTGTTTCTTTGTTTAGGTTCATGGAAAACGTTTTGTGTACAAATTCATTTGTGATTTGAAGACTCTACTTGGTTTTTCAGCTGGTGAGCTATATATGTTAGTGAAAAATTGTGCTGAAAAGCATTCACATCGAGGCAAAAAGCGTCGCTTGACTACCGGATCAACATGCTCGTCAGTAAATAACCATACTCTATCTACTTTTCCTATTGACGATGGTGCTGTGTTCCCAATACCCGCTGAACATTCTCGCCCACTTAGTTTCTTGAACCGGCCTGTACAACGCAATGTAACCTCTGGTTACTGCCTTGATGTTGTCACACCTTCAGATCCCCTTTGTTATAATGTCCCGTTTTCTCCCACATACCGTATCAGACAACCAGTCAAATCGGAAAATGGAGTACACAGTAATATGTTAGAACAGCACTCCAGTAGTTCTTTAACTCACCAGCCATTACAACGAAAAAGACCTTTGGGCATGCAGTCGGCTACTGCCAATGCTGACAATATTGTTTTCGAAGATGACTCCGTTAATCGTAATGCCTCTGACTCTGAACATCATGAAGAGGATCAATCACGTGCTCCTACCAGCCCTTGGAGGCTGCGACGTCGCTGGTGGGCTCGCAATCCTTTATCTGGTGTTTCACCACTTGGCTCTCCTCCTTACTCATCTCCTTCATTCACTGAACGTATATCTTCTGATCCTGCTCGACAACAAGATGATGTATCCGATCGCTTCAATGGTTCATGTACGTCTTTAGCTGGTTCAAGTTCTCAGTTCAGTCATTCACAGTTCGCAGTTGATGAGGACTGGGTTGCCGCTGCAGCGTTAACAGAGGATATGGCAAATGAATCGTCCATGAATTCCTCCAACTCGGTCAACAGTTCATTTCGATCTAATAGAATTTCACTTTCACAGCCTCCCACTACCAATTCTACTGTAACTGGCTTTGATGAAGGTGAGATAGCTTCAGCCGCTGCTTCATTATTCAATCAGTCAAACCAATCAGAACCTCCCTTGCTAGTAGGTCAAACAATTACCACTTCCAAAAATCAAAAGCTATATTCTAACATATCTGATTATCGCTGTGAAACAAAAGAGGTACGACATGATGATTCGCTTATCGACGATACTGTATATGGTTCTCGGTTGAGTCATTTAGCTAGTAACAGGTACATCTCTAATAACCGGTCATCTTTACGTAACTACGGTCCAGTCTTATTATCCGGTTACAATCAAGGCATAGATATCGATGCCTTTTTAGCTCATTGATGTACAATATGTATGAAGCTTTTTTCACAGCTACTTTGATGTTCGCTTCTATAGAAAATTGTACATTAATTTATTCATCAATAGGTGCCTTCCGATTTGTATTGCGGAAGTATATTCAGATGACATATTCATTCATTATTTTCCTTCAATGATCATCCTATTTTCTGTTATTTTTTTTCTTTTCTCTGAAAATTTCTTTACTCAGGATTTTGTTTAATTGTACAATATATATATATATATATATGTATACTGGTTCTCTATATGTACAGTACATGATTATCCTCTCAAATCCGTGAATTACTTCACATTCAAAGTATTAGTATCCTCTCTCTCTCTCTCTGTTTTTTTACATACATCTCCATGAAAACTGCAATTTACATTGTTCATGTACAAAAGCATATGTAGTTGATTGATTAAATCAAATGATTCTGATGTTCATTTTAACACTTCCAATGTGTATACACCACATGTAGCATTTCGATTAGAATGAGAATTCTATTCGGTGTTTTTTCTTTGTGTGCGTGTGCGTGTGCGTGTGCCTGATTGAGTTCATATCTTTAATTCAACTTGTATGTGTCAATAACATTCCATGCCATTCACAGTAATATCATTTAAATAAATTAATTCAAATGTTGTCAAGAAAGCTTATAGTTATTTGATGATGATGATGATGATGATGATGATGATAAAGTTAGATTTCCCTAATATTTCACTTACTCTATTGTTATTTAGTTTTTACTGTGAACTTTTCACGACATTTGCATTTCAACCAATTGACACATTAAATTCTTTTTTTTTCAATCAATTAATCAATCACATTCAACAAAAAAACATACATAGTTTTTATGATCAATCTCAACTTTGTCCATACTTGTATTCTTGTTGATTTCTGTAAATTTTAACTCTGGCTCCCTATATATATATATTATATATATATATATATATAAATGCCATTCACATTTCCTATACACACAGAACTATTTTGTACATTTTTTTTTAGTACGAAAGAGATTCTTTTGTTTTTTTTATATACATATATTTATACAGGCGTGCTTTATTTGACGTTTATTATTATTATTATTACTACTATTATTATTATTATTGTTCAATTCATTTTATTAACTTGTTTGTTCTGTTTTCGTTTTTTCTTGTTTGTTTGCGAGTAAAGTAACAAGTCAATATTCCTGTTAGGTTAAGAAGATGTGTAATCATTATCATCTTAATTATCTATGCACAAAAATGTTATCCTATGTTAAAACAAAACATTATCCTCAACGCCTAATTTAAGTGTGCTCATTAGATAGCACTATCATGTGACTCTAGAAGTGGATACGCAATTGTTTTGTTTAAATCGTAATGCATAGTTAGTTGGTTAGTTTTGTTCATAGATGGTTGGTTATATGTGTTGCTTGTATTGTTTTGAATAGCTAAATATGAATAATATATTTTATTGCGTCAGTAAATTCTTGTGTATGTATATACGCGTGAATCCATTTTCTGTAAAAATAAATGGGATGATCTCTAGTATCTTGCATCGTATTCATGGGCTGAACCTTATATCGTTTACATGAATAACAACTGGTTGCTAAGTTTTAAACTTTCATCTAAATAAGTGATGGAAATCTTTATAGGACGATGATAAGGTGGACTATAGTATTGGATCTACTTGGTGGGTAGTAATTGTCATTAGTGAAGTGTAAATTACATCTTAATGACACAGTAGGCCGTGTCTGAAGTCATTGTTTTGGTAGGTGTATGAGCGCTGGTATGTATTGCTTCAAGTAGCACTTCGGCTTTAACAAACGATCACCCATTTCGGTATCTTGGTATTTCGTGGACTTTCTCAACATTTCGAAAGAAGTAATCTGATAAAGTGTGTATTCTGTTATGCAATCTTCCTTGCCTCATATGGATGAATGCATAAAGTTTATACAAGCAACCTAATAATTTTTTTATTATTTAAGGGATCGCATAAGGAAAGTTTCAAGTTAATCCTGATAAACGGATTCTGAAAGAGTTAAAAATCTGCTTGAGTAATAGTTCTTTAAGTTCAGGAGACATGAAGTGTGTTAAAATCGCTCATCTTTTAGGCATATTACAGCCGGATGTAAATGATTATCTTTCTATTCTGAACCTGAACATGTGGTTTCAATAATGATTCGACTCCTAACTAAAGCTTCTGAAGAGCGAACTCGCCGAATCCATGATTGTTTCAGGTCTGGACGTTGATGTATGGAATGAACACTTCGGTAGGTTTTGAGACTCCGTTCATCTATGTTGTATGCCAGGTTGTGTGGGTGTTATTGAAAGGCATAACAAGGAGGAAAGTTCAATTGGCTTTTCTGAACTTGCGGCGTAGGTGAGGTATCCGTCTTCCAACCAAAGGACAAACTACTGCGCATCAGTCCTCAATACACTGCTCGTGTATTTTGAGGCCACCGGCAAGCATTGCTCGGGTTATGAAATGGGGTACTATGTAAGGATAGGAAATCGTCTAATGGGGTTGTTAGTCTACATCAGCTGAGATGGTTGGGACATGTATGATGTATACCCAACGACCGCCTTCCTTGAAGAGGGATATCCGTTGTGGGATTAGGCTGTAAGAAAGCTAGGGCTGACTAAACGAAGACGTGCTATCAGTCCATGAAGTTATTGACAGTTTAACTGAACGATGTTACTAATTGTAATCTGCGTGGTTGGGTTCGCATGAAAATTGTAACCAGTAGTTATGGAATTATGAAATATTATTTTTAGCGGTCAGTTTACGAAGGATACTATGTATTACAAGTATTTACTGTATCGAAATGCAAATTACTTCTAGCCATTATATAACTGAATTACTGTGTATAGATCATTAATTACCAAATTTACCAACTATAATATGATCTTTTATCTAAAAGTGTTGGATTAAGGATAATAATAGCGATAATGAAGTTTTCATCTGTTTATAAGTCACTTACAATGAGGAAATAAACTGAGACCACCAAAAGCGGATAGGACTAAAATATGTAGTGCATTACGCTAACGTTTTCGGAGTATACTAACAATTAAATATGAACATAATTTTAGAGGATAGGTTAAAGAATAAAAAAAAAGCAATAATATGACTGTGAAACAGTATAATCAGTAGAAGAACACAACAATGTTGAAGGATAAATATGAGCGATATATAAGTCATCAAAATCATCAGATAAAAATAACTAACTGTAACTCAGCATACTTATTATACTTAAGTAGTATGTTCGTGGTAGCAAAATTTGAAGATGAATTTTGATGTTTAATTAATAGTGCCACTGCATACTTAGAAGGATATTGTGTATATAATTCAGTGTTCTTCTATGTCAACCAGTTTTCGGTTTTCAAATTTTGCACTTGTTACGAGAAACAGACTCATATGTTCAGGCACAACAAGATTTAACAGTAAAATTTTTTTAAGAAATAATTTTTTCTAAAGAAAATTTACAAAGTATTTACAGGTTATTACGAATTTCTTACATTAAGAACAAAAATTATTACACATTCTAAAAATAATAACTAAAGAATTCATGCCAGTTTACAAGAATGAGCAACTTGATATCTATGGGAATTTTAAATATCAAGAATAGACAAGTCAGTATATTGTTCGAAGAGTTGTAGTTGAAAAACGGTTTAGGAAGAATATTTTTCACATATATTACATTAATTCAAGGCGCCACATGGCAAACTGTAATTCCTTTTTACTCGGGTTCCTACTTCTGTACGAATGGTGTATTAGATGTGATTTCCATTACCATAATGTAATGGTTATAGTCATCTACATTTGGGGAAAAATGGAAACAGAGAACGCGACAACACGAAAAAAATAAATACATCGATCGGTCAGTCAGGTTTATCAGGATTCAAGTGAATGGTCATTTCATGGTTTAGCAAATGTGTATTCAAAGTTACAGTAACATTGGATAAATTAGTCTGATTTCAGATAAAAGCAGTAATTGCCATTTCGTCTTTCTTATCAATTCTGTTGTGGTGTGAGCTACTTATAAGTAGTATATGACGTGAGTGTCAACGTAATGTCTGGCAGCAGAAGATGGGGGAAGATCAAGAAAGGAAGAGTTAGAAAACAATGGAATTTGTATGAAACGCATGAACAGTGACATTGGATTGATGTTTTGCAACAGGAACAGTCCAGTTCGATATGATGAACTGATATTTTGCAAATTAACGATTTACGATATGGTTTTCCAATTTTACTGAGTAACTCTGTAATTTCGCTAAATACAATTCCGTTGCCCCACCTGTGTTCTCGTTCACTACACTGTGATCGTAGATAAACAAATAGTATCTCACATAACAATTGACACGCCTAATTACTTCAAACAACTAATAACGTTACAAATACACGATTCATATTACAGTTGTGATGATTTCAAGCAAGTGAGGGTAATAATCTTATACTCTGTCTGTATACCACCTTTAATACCATGAATAAAGAATAGAGTATCAATTAAGACTAATGAGATTTTACTTTACAAGTATGTATGTTATCTGAGTGATATATTTAAACATCAAGAATACAAACGTAAACAGGCCACATACAAAATAATTCTATTTCAACATCAACAATTTGAAATGATCACTGTAGTACTTCTTATATTAGAAATAAAGATAAAACACAAATTCGAAATATGTTGCATTATGAAAATATAAATATGTGAATTGATCATTATTGGATTCACATTCAATTTTAGTGCAACAGTAGAATTCGAATTTCACTGCTACGATTGCATACTTGCATATGACCAATATTGTAAAAATACTTAATCACAGACAATTCATCAATACTTTTTGATCTTGAACTGAAATAACTAGTGTTTGACATTGTTTTACAATTTATAACTCAATATTCAATCATTGTTTGGAAGTTTCGCTTTTTCACTGAACAACTAAATACAGGTAGGTCTAACGTTTATTTTCACAGTTATACGAAAGAATAAATTGTTAGAATTCACATCTATCTCATTCAAAACTGATATAATGATATGTAAATCAGTCAGTCAGTCAGCTGTAACGTATAACTCGCGTACATCCGTACATCAGTTCAAGTTGCCACATCACATCAACACAGAGATATCGAATTGTCAATTCAAATCACATATTGGTAGATGTAGTCGAAATATTACCGGAAATAGAGGAGATTAGGTCTCGAAGAAATAATTTCAGAACTACGATGCAGTGAAATAAATTTATGAAGAGAAAGATGAAGGTGATGAGGAATTCAGAAGATTAGAAATTGAGAGAACACAAAGAATAGATACATGTATGTCATTGCAAACGATTTTGAGCCTTGTCATTGAAAGTCTCTAACCATCGGTTACTACCGTCTCGCAGACGACAACTAGGTATTTCACATCTACTAACATGGCTCAGTCCAGTCAGGAATAACTTCATGAGTTTGTGCCATGTTTTGGTTTGGCCTATCTTAGCTTCCTTCTGTCCCATTCCTACATCACAAAACATCCTCGTTGAGGCAGTCAGTGGTTAGGCATAAGTAATGCATGTCCCAGACACCTCAAATGATTGAAATTCATCACTTCATTTGTTGATCTATCAACCCTACATAGTACACGCTTCCTAACACCACCATTTTTAACTCGATAGACACAGGATTTACGAGACACCGTTGATCAAATACCATAATCCTACTAATATCCTCAACTCTCACTATCCATGTTTCGCACCCGTACTGTAGCATTTAGTGAACTGACACGCAGTAAGCTCGTCCTTTGGTTAGTAGATGGATATCTCGCCTACGCCATCAGTGACGCCAGTTTTCAAAAGACAATCGAGACTTTCTTATCCCTGCTGAGATTTCGTCGCACACTAGCCATCAGCACTGATGAGAATCACGAGATATGTGAAGTGGTCAACACGGGCAACTATTTCACTGCTTACCACTAATTCAAGTGCCAATGCAAACTGATCCTGAAACAATGTTTCGCATTTCGATGGGTAGACTCGCATCTCTAATATGATCGCATTGTTGCTTAGAGTGATCAGAAGACTCTGCATTTTGTCAGCGTCTTCACCAAGTAGAACTATGTTGCCGACATATTCTAACTAAACAAATGAATCTTCTGGTAAAAGCTCAACTTCAGGAAAGTGAGACGTTGGAAGTGTCGTCATTAGAGGTATGTCAATGACAATGACTCGACTGTTAGTGTTAGAGTGGAAAGCCTATATAAGGTTAATGTATAACTTGTTATTCTCTTCAGTGACAAACATTGCCATAGAACCTCACGATCCACAGAGTCAAATGCAGGATCAAGGAATACAACAATCGTCGGACGTGTGTCTGTGTTCTAAAACCCAACATAGTGTGAATATCTGGTCAATACACCCATGTTCAGTGTTGAAACCAGCCTGTTGATATCGAGTGTGCTCTTAACGAGCTCAAGTAAGGCGTCGAATCAACATTTAAAACACTATATTAGTCATACTGATTCCTATGTGATTGACACAAGATGACTTTTGTCCTTGTAGGCTGAGAAAATCAGTGATCGAGACCAGTCAGATGAAATTACGCCCAGTTCCAAGATTCAACATAAAATCTCAGTCACTGTCAGTGCTAAGACCAGAACACCATACTTAAAAAACTCAGGGTATAATCTATCTAGGCCTGCTTCTCCTCCTTGCACAAAACTGATTATAGTTATGTCAATATGATCACGAGTTGGCCGACTAGAATAAATTTGACGTTTCAGTTAACAAGAAATCGTGGGTAACCGAAGTGTGTCTAAGGACCGGTTGAAATAGTCGATTATTAACATGAAATTGTACATTCGTGGTGCAAACTGCATTCTCACCGCAGATGATTTACAGTAGGTTAAAGACTTAAACTCACATAAATTGATTAGTATTAAGTTAACAAATCAAAAACGAATGTAAACAAGTAATACTTGTTTTATTCTCTCCATCCTGAATTAGTTCAATTGAAGTGTATCGAAAAGTGTATAAACAAAATGTTCAGTTTGTTTTTGAAATGCCTTGATCATTTATGTAATTAATAAATAGCGTAAACAAAAAATTGCATATTCGGAATGTTAAATAGATTTGTCTCATATCAATCACTTCATGAGGCTCTGATGAAGTTGACCTACATACTAGTAAATTAATTGATTGTTAGAATTAAATAATTCATTCTTATTGTTTTTGTATAGTTTTTTTTCAAAATCATAGGATTCAAGGTTTTATTCAATTTATTTTTTGACATATAAATCACTCGTATGTGGTTCTACATTGTCAAACAAGTAACATGTATGCAATACACATAATTACACTGGAAAGTTATTTACTACGGTATAAGTGAATAAACACTACGCCCATTATTACACCAGAACACATTGAACAAATAAACAGATATCACTATTTCAATCTCCGATCTACTTATACTACTAATTGAAATTGTCATGTGGAAGGCAAGATTATCGACCAATCATCACAGTAAAGTGACAACGAAAACGTTAGAAAAGAATACTAAATCAGAGGGTAAAAGACAAATATTATCACGTTACAGTCAAAACATAGTGATTTGTGACTTACATCCAAGTGCCAACACACAATACATTGTATTGAAGATTGGAGTTTAGTAGAAACATACATAGAATAATGTTTATGTAAGTTCCGTTAGTACTGATCTGCAGTATTAAAGATAAGGATTATATAAGCTCAAATAGGACAAAATGGATTTCTCAAATGGACTACTGAATGAGTACATTGAAGCAAACAACTAACTCTCCTTTAAGTTTTGTAGATCATGATCACATTAGTTGACTAATGTCAGTTGATGGAAAATTACTTTGAAAACCATCTGTCCTACTCTTCATCATTAACTAAGACAGTTACTGCGTTAAATTCACTACAGAACATAGACGAACATTCACAAAATTACTATCGAAATCAGTAGATAACTTTCGTTTGTTTATGTCAGCTTATAATGTCTATGGAACAAACTTAAGGGCAAGTAATTAGGACATAGACTGTTTATACAACAAAAATAACTCAAACTATGCACAGTATACAAATTATTATTGAATTTCACATTAAAAACATAGAAACAAACATTTTAGTTACAAGTAAAATTAATCGATTTCTAATTTTGTTTGATGCTTGCTTGTTCATCCAGTTTTATTTGCACAAACCGGGTAATTCTTTGATTGATAAATAGATGTGCATTTATGGGCAAACTTTTTTAATGCGTTTGTTTAATCGTTGAGCTACTGCAATTCAGAAAAGTTAAAAATAGTAATCACAATTTCAATGTCGTAGCATTCAGTGTTCGCGAGATTGTTTGATATAATCATCAAAATTTGTTAATATAGACATTAATTTCTTTGGTGCATCATATATAATTTCTCAATTCGTCAATTCACTCTAAATTGTGAGGCTGATGACCGGTTATTTTTTGGTACTACGTAGTTATGTTAATAAATATTCATAGTTTTCAGATGCACAGATATGATCTATCTATCTATCTATCTATCTATCTATCTATCTATCTATCTATCTATCTATCTATCTATCTATCTATCTATCTATCTATCTATCTATCTATCTATCTATCTTTACACACATCTATCTATCTATCTATCTGTTTTACTAATCTCTTCAGTTACTGCTGATACTTCTACTACCTCTACTACAATAGGATTTGAAGTGACAATCGCATCTCTGTGCTAATGTACTATGACAACTTGAACTGATGTACGTACGTACGAAGTTTTATGTTGTTGCTGACTTGAATATCTATCTATTTAACTATCAATCTATTTATCTGTCTATCTGTTTATCAAAAATCTATCAATACATTGTACATAACTTTGTTTAAATCAAATAAGTCGGATATATCAATGGCATAACTTACAAGTATTTAAAACATCAGTCAACTTATGTCCCAGATCGTCTTCTATGAAATAGTTCTGCACTGATTGATACCAGCCTTTGGAGCATTCTTTCAGACCACCATAGGACTTCATTAGCGCTAGATACTGGATAAATAAGAATTTTTGATTTATCGAAAAATTTCGTTTCAAGAACTTACCAATTCATTCATGTTTGAACCAGGTTTACATCTAAAAAAATGAAGAAATGAAAACAAAGAAATATGATGAAGTAGTAGTTTAAATTTGAATTCAGTACATTGTAGAGAATGATTAGTGAAGTTGTTTTTTTTTATGCACACCGTTTTGTTTCCAGTTTGAGTAATTAATTACTAGAGTTTCGATTCAGTGCCAGATAAGTGCACAGCAAGTAGATTATTCTGCTCACAGTGAATATTCCAATAGTTGAGAAACAAGCCTATTTCGTAATTTACACTATTCTACAAATGACATGACAAAAATTCATTCGTTATCATTAAAAGTTTTGATAACGAATATAAACCTTTGGCTGAAAGATACTCTTAGTCTCAAACTACCCACCGATTCATATTGTGTCTATACATATAATCACTTATAACTGTATTTACAATAGATATTCTTGGTGAACAATGAACAAATGTGGAATTAAACATAAAATACAGTTTCATATTGAAAAGGCATATTAAAGATTATAGTCTTACTCAATCTGAACAGCGAACAGACAGATAGCCAAAGAAAGAATGAAGATTGACTTCATTATGTTGTGTAGATTTTTTAATGATAAAAATGAATTACTCTCTTCCTTTTATACATATTCACTAGTTCATATTGTTTATGTTTGAATATGTATGTTTGTGCAAATGGGTCATTGAGTGTTTACGCTAATCAGTAAGGTCACTGACATTCATAATCCAATCATTAGATATGTATATTTGTTCGTTCGGTCATCGAACGATTCATACACCGAGTACTCTAAACTGTGGTCACATGTAATTGGACAGACCGTATTGTTTTTTTGATCTGTTTCATTTTCAACTTTAACGGATGTCTGATTTTATTACTAAATACACTTTTATAAATTATTTCAGAACCACTCAGTCATTTATGTGTTTGACCTGGTAAACACCAACTTTCATAGCTTTATGTGAGTATCTGAAATTTATGTGTGAGAGGGACTTACCATTGTCCGGGAATTTGAAAGTGTAGTAGACTGTCGATCAACAACCAGTGCCGAGTTCACTGGGCGATCTTGATATGGTCAATTTGAGTCCAACCTTCAGTTGTAGAAGGGAATCTCCATGCAGCACATCCGCGATGACTGTGACGATAGTTAATGCCAGCGAGAACCAGCTTATAGTCTCTGGCTAGTCCTAAGATATCTGTCGGGCACACTTTCTGGAGATTACCTAACTAGTGGCGGAACTCATCCTTGATTGCATCCGAATTGCGATCCGTGTAGGAGGCTATGATGAAAAGGCATTGTTTCTTACAACGATTTCTTCTCTGTTTGATAGAGCTTTCTGATCTATCAGCACATATTCGACAATTAATTGGGATGAAATTGATTAGATCTACCACAACTCTAGTTTGACACTAAAGCCAGTGTGGCCAGACGAAGACGCCAAAGGATAACGCACGCGAAAATAGCTTTCCGGAGAGACTGATGAAGTACAAATGTTTAGTGTCTCAACAGTTGTGGATAAGGGTCTCGGATAGGCAACAAACATCAATATTCAAACTTTCCAGAGACACAGCCAGCGCTATCTGTTCTTTGATCTGCACTAGGGTGTGAACACTGAAGTAGACCAGTTTGAATGGCATAAGTAGATCCTGTTCGGTGGAAGAAGACGAATTTCCACCTGTCACTGACCCGAAATTGTTTATGTAGCACGAGACTTCCAATATAAGTTATATGCAGTACGAATGAAGAGTAAGGAATACCTGAAATAAGAATGTAGGAATAAACAAGTGACACAATGTAAAATAAAAATGAATGTTATCATATAATTATAAGTGCTATATGTGAAAGTGAGGATTCAAGGGAATAGAAAATTTTCCGCTAATTATAATCACTCGGTAACTGTGGTGGCTATGATAACACCTGGAAGCCAATAGGAAGCTAGTGGTTTACTTAGGGAGCTACTCCTTAAGCCACTGGACAAGAAACCTGGTTCAATTGACATTAGTCAACTAATGTGATCATGATCTACAAAATTAAAATCTAAACCTGTCTTTTACCCTCTGATTTTGTATTCTTTTCTAACGTTTTCGTTGACACTTTACTGTGATGATTGGTCGATAATCCTGCCTTCCATATGACAATTTCAATCATTAGTTTTAGTAAATGGAAGATTGAAATAATGATAACTGTTTATTTGTTCAATGTGTTTTTGGTGTAATAATGGGCAAGTAATGTAGTGTTTATTCACTTATACTGGAGTTAATAACTTTCCAGTGTAATCAAGTGCATTGCATAAACATATAAAATTTGTTGAACATGATAGTCAATACATTCATACTGATATTTTCTAAGTAATATATATCACAATGCATTATTTCACATTATTTCAAGTAATGTTCTTTATGAGCATGTGCTGTGTTTGAGGAATGTAATTTGACCGAATTACTACAGAGTTAAACATGATAAGGGAAACCATTAAATGAGTGCTGTACTTACATTGAATTTCGGTGAATAGATGAAAGCTTACAGTGAAGACAGAAACCGTAGAAAGCTCTCTTTTCACAATTGTACCGGTGAACTATTGATTTAATTTCAATATTTTTTATATACTGACTTTATGCAATTATTCATTATGATATTTTGGGGCAGAGTTTTGGAGGTTTGTGTTTTTACACATTTGGAATCGTCAATCAATCATTGTTAAATCACTATTAGGAACCTGAAAGCACTGGACGGCCGTTTCGTCCTGGTATGGGACTTATCAGCAATGCGCATCCACGACTCCTGCACCTCGCAGGATTCGAACCCGGGACCTTCGGTATTGTGCGCGAACGCCTAACATTTGGACCACTGGGCCGGCATCCAACGGTGTTAATGTCTAACTCTGATTGATCTACGGATTTTGAGCGACCTATCCCATTTGTCTTTGTTAGTTACTGCCTACACCCGACAGGGTTGAACTCCATTGGCCACGTCTTCCAAACTAGAACTCCGAGAATTTCCTCACGAAGCTAGTCACTAGTGAGCACTGTTACGATATTTTGGGGCAGAGTTTTGGATGTTTGCGCCTCTATGCAGTGGTCTTACGGTTAGACGCTCGCGCACAAAACCGAAGAGCCCGGGTTCGAATCCTGCGAGGAGCAGGAGTTGTGGATGCGAATTGCTGATGAGTCCCATACCAGGACGAAACGGCCGTCCAGTGCCTCCAGGTTTCTAATGGTGGTCGAACAATGATTGATTGATGATTCCAAATATATTCATTATGAGTCTGTATGTATAACTCAAATGACGTAGTATGTATTTCTTATTGGAATTTCAATCTGTATTTCTGTTTATGTACGTTTCGATAAGATAATTCTTGATATAGATGATTGTATGTATGTACAAGGTAATTCTCTTTATTTCTACAGATTTGTATTTTATGCCGTTTGAAGACTTCAATTAGTTTCATTTCAAATATTAATTTGGTCCTATGTAGTTTGTGGTTTGCTGGTAAATTTTTGTCGCCTTTTTTCCCAACCTTTTGATGACAATACAATTTATATACCGGTTTTCGATTTGATCGAACTGAATACTTATGAATCCTATCCTTTTCTACTCATCATTTGATATCATGCGTAACTTTGAATATACTGTATTTATAAATACTTGGGACTCAAACAGAAACACTATAATTCTTAGCTTAGGTTTATTGTGGTGTCAATTACTTATAAGTAGTAAATGATGTGAGTGTAAACGTAATGTCTGGCAGCATAATATGGGGGAAGATCAAGAAAGGAAGAGTTAGAAAACAATGGAATTTGTATGAAACACATGAACAGTGACATTGGATTGATGTTTGGCAACAGGAACAGTCCAGTTCGATAGGATGAACTGATATTTTGCAAATTAACAATTTACGATATGGTTCCCCGATTTTACTGAGTAACTCTGTAATTTCGCTAAATACAATTCGGTTGCCCCACCTGTGTTCTCGTTCACTACATTATGTTTAACTATCCTTGCGAGAAAAGCAACACAAATACATGTAGAAATTCGCACGGCTTTATGAATATAGTGGATGGAAAAATAGTTGCGACAGTTAACTTATTAAGGAACTTCGATGATGAATGAAAGATGAATGAAAGCTTGCTTTTGTAATTTGAATGTATGCCAAAGGAACATCTGTAATAGTGATAGTAATTATCCCTCAGTGCATTACAACTGTGACTACATTTATAGTATGGAATAAATACATTATTTGAAATCATCAATCAATCATTGTTAGACCACCGTTAGAAACCTGATGAGTCTCATGCCAAGACGAAATGGCCGGCCAGTGCTTCCAGGTTTCTAATGGTGGTTTAACAATGACTGACTGATGATTTCACATGTGTAAAAACACTAATCTCCATAACTTTAATGGAAAAAATCCATCTTTATTGTTATTATTAATAGTACTGTTGTTTAAACAAATTACGATTTTGCAGTTTCATGCAATTTTATTTTACTTATATATTTTACATCGCTTTTAAAAATAAAGTAATAGTGATGAACGTTATCAACAGTCGATTTCATCGTATGTTTATTTGAAATGTAAATTTTGAGGAATTTCCATTGTACACCAGTATCAATAGAAATGTAGTTAGTCGCTCTGCAAAGTAGACATAGTGAGTAAACTTTCCCTCGCTGTTCACAGAATTTAGCCATAAATGTTAATTGCTTCTCCTGCCATGTACGTTTACTGATTGTTGATCTGTTTAAATGATCAGTTTTCTCGTCAATGAGGTGAAATAAAGCTACAGTTATGTATGTCTGAAACTTTATCTTACCGTAAACCCATCTACCGACAGAATGTACTTCACAGAACAAACGTCAAATCCCCTGTTTCAAACCAGTGATGTGTCATCAACCAAGTCAAGTTTAAACACGACAGCATGTGTCGAATGCATATGCGATAGAGACTGTAGAGACAGCGAAATAAGTTGATGATTGCTTTTTACGGGCTTGTCAAAATCGTTCTTTATGCTCCTTGTTTAAAATAAATTTCAACAAACTACGAAATGAATGGTTTAATCTGATTGAACTGACTTATATACAAATAGACCTCCAAAGATAACGTTCTTCTACTTGGAAGATCAACAATCCCTGTAGAAAGGATGAGTTTAACCGGTGGTGAAAATTTCATTTTCTAATGCTTATGACAATTAAGTAAACCATGTGTTTTTGAACAATAGTATGACGTGAATTTATATTTAAATAGCTTTATAAAACAGAACTGAGAGATGCCCCTTGGACTAGGCTACTTGTTTCTTGACGCTCAATAATAAGAGTTATGTGGAATTTTGAGGAGAGAAATGCTACCTGTGAGATTCATACTTATTTCACTCACTATCATAGTTGAAGATATTTTCATTAAATGAAATACCTATTCACTTATGGATTCGTTTTGTTGGCCATATGCACTTTAGACAGTTGAGAAATAATTTATCTAGAAGTTTCAAATACACATACACATTAGTGCAGATTGTCTTGTCAGTTTTCATCATTTTAATAAATTCAGTTAAAATCCAGTCTCTGATTTTTCTACTAGTTTTATTTATTTACTCAAA